TGTTCTAGCCGGCCAGCGCAGCCCCTGCCTGTGGGGCACTCAGACCCACTGTGGGGCTGAAGCAGCCTCCAGCCCGCAACTATCTGGAAGTTGCTGCTGCCCCCATCAGTTAACCACTAAGGATGAGGCTTACCAGTTACATGTCCACATCTCTAGTTTTGCATTTGTTGTTTGTAAGGCATCTGGTTCTGCTTTGAGTTGGTGTCCTGCTCTGTAGGCAGCATCCTTCTGATGTAAGCTTGGAGAGGTTGGAGCATAGTTCGAAGACGAGGCGAGGGGATTCAGGAAAGATTTTTTTCAGGATGGAGTATCCTTCCAGGATGGGGTGTAGTTGTTTGATGATACCCCATATGAGTTCCTTAGTGGCATGGTACATAACAATTGGGTTGAGTAGTCAGAGAGAGCTTTATTTCTGTACTGAAGCAGATTCACTCAGGGTATTTGAGTGGCCAGTTCTATGATGTGATCTACTTTTCTGGTGGAAGTCCTTGTTTGATGAAGGAAGTTTTGAGTGTATGAAGATGTACATTCCAGACTTTCTTCTCTGAATCATACTCTGTGCCTTGCTGTAAATAAGACTTCCTGGTGTGGACCTATGAAGTTAAGTTACTGTGCTCTGTGGGTTTCTTGTTTAGAGTTGTCTATAGGGTTTCATTGTTAAAGTTGATTGTTGTGTCCAGGAATCTGATCCTAGCATGGGACTTTAATGGACGGGTTATGGTAGTTGATACTGTGGTAATATCTAGAAGGGAATTTTATTTATCTGACCAGATGATGAAAATACAATCACTATAGCTCAAGCATTGGTTTTGTGGTGCATTTGTCCAGAAATTCTTTTTCAATGTAGTCCATGAAAAGATTGTCATCATGAGTGGTGTGGAGAGGGCCGATAAAGAAAAGTTATTTATTAGTTCCCCAAATGAAATTAATGGGGAGCAGGTTTAAAACTACTACAAGAAAGTTCTTCTTCACACAGCGTGTAGTCAACCTGTGGAACTCCTTGCCAGAGGAGACTGTGAAGGCCAGGACTATAATAGAGTTTAAAGAGAAGCTAGATAATTTCATAGAGGTTAGGTCCATAAAAGGCTATTAGCCAGGGGATAAAATGGTGTCCTTGGCCTCTGTTTATCAAAGGCTGGAGAGAGATGGCAGGAGACAAATCGCTTGATCATTGTCTTCGGTCCATCCTCTCTGGGGCACCTGGTGTTGGCCACTGTCGGTAGACAGGATATTGGGTTAGATGGACCTTTGGTCTGACCCAGTACAGCCATTCTTATGTTCTTATGGAGAAATTATTGATGAATCTAGGAAGATGAATAGCACATACCTCAAACTTGCATAGGGCATAATAAAGTAAAAACTTCACTGCCAAACCCGGCAATTCAGGTTCCCGCAGTTGCAGCGGCACCACAAGAGACATAGTTTCCCCTGGTCTAATTAAGCATGCCACCCATGCCTAATTCCCTTTGTGGATGTGGCCTAAATATTTACAGAATCAGGCCCACAGAGACAAAATATTTTATAAACAACAGCTGTAGACCTTTGTTGAAAAGATTGCCCTTCTCTCCATAATTGCAGTTGGAACCCACTGAATTATTAAACTAACTACATCAGAATACAAGTAGGGCCTGATTCTGCCTCCTTGCTCTCCCAAAACTCTCAATGGTGTACGAGAAATGCAGCATATTGAATTAGGTTAATGTAATGTTTAAGAAGATGTTTGAATAGTTTAAAGTAGGATTATGGCATAAAGATTAGGGTAATTTTCGAAACTGAGCCCTCTGGATACCCTGTTGAGCTGTTAAAAGGTGTTATGGGTGCATAATGAGGGCAGAATTATACCGTTGGGACTAATTTTTTTAAAATGCTTATTAAGATATCAGAAAGTTTGCATAATAGTACTGATTTTTTAAAATACATAACCTATCTAAATCTAGCATAGTCTTTTGTCCTTCTGATTCTTGCTGATCTCATGAATCAGTCATTTAGGGTGGTGCAAGCATCTTCGGTCACACCCATTGAACTAATCCCTCATGTCTGTAGCATGTTCAGCTTCGGTGCTGAATGCTAGCATGTGGCAATAAAACTCATTCTTTTATTTTTGGTAAGTTTGTCCATATAGCATAGCTTTCTTTTATCAACTTATTAATATGTTTGAGTCACTTTTCCATGAAGAAATACAACCCCAAAGAGGCTTG